GGGATGGCAGGACACTGTTCGACCTCCCAAAATCCTCGCGCCAGAATATCTGCCCAAGACATGTTACCAAACACTGCAGCCAGTGCAGCAAACTTCCAAACGTCAAGGGCACGAGGATAGACCGCAGGCTGGCCAGACTTAATAACCCTGTGGACAACCTGAGAGACCCAAGCCCTGGAACAAGGAACGAGTAAAACCCGGATCAACCCAAAGCGCATCCCCGACCACAGAAACCGAAGCACACAGGTAACGGCAGAGAGCCACAACTGGACACAAGACATGATGCACCGCTAGCCTGACCAACCAAGCATCAATAACCCAAGGACCCCTCCAGAAAGCAGCCACCTCATTCTTTGCCAGAAAAGGAGATGGCTGCAACTGAACAAACCGACTATCAGGACCAAAGAAGCAGAAACCCCTGCGCTGAAGGAAAGCAAGGAGCTTACCGACCCGGTTGACCAAGCAGCACCTGAAACCAAGGCTGGGCTGGCCATCAAGGGGCCACGAGGACTACTCTCCCCTCATAAGACTCCAACTAAGCCAGAACCTGAAGCAACAGCTGGACTTGGGAATAGAGGTACAGGTAACCCCACCTCGACAGTCCTGCCGAAAGGCATCCACTGCGAAAGCCTCGCAGTCAGGGGAAGGGTGCCACATATATCATGAGACAATGATGCAAAGAGGTCCAATTTTGGGAGTTCGTACGTCTGGCAGAGCCAACTGAAGGAGTCATCGTTAACCGTCTATTCCGTGGACAGGGGAATGAACCGAGACAGGCCGTCCGCCATGACATGGACACTCCCCGGACATGAATTGCACGGAAAGCCAAACCCTGAGAAGCCAGCAGACAAGCTACTCGAAGCAACCAGCCCCAAAGAGGCAAGGACCAAAGAGAACCCCCCCTGCAGTTCAGGCCATGAACCACCGGAGAACAGTTCAAATGAAGCCGGATGGTTGAACCCCAAGCGACGCAAATCCTCCGAAGTGACAGCCAAACCGCCAAAAACTCCCATATTATGCTCTGGCCCCGACAGAAGGAAGGACCCCACCACCCCTGGCCTGCCTAGTGAGCACTGGTCACAAAGCCCTAGCCAAGAGACGACGCATCCATGAACACATCGAGTGAGGCCTAAGAGGAAGCAGGTGACGCAGCAACAGATGCAAGGCCTTTGGGGATGAACCCAGCGATCGTGAGATCGGAAGGGGCGTCCCCGAAGGATAAGTATGGCGTAAAGCTGTACATGCTGGCTGAATCGCAAACTGGTTACATCTATGATTTTGAAGTGCATGCAGGAATTGGGAAGACTCAATTCAAACCATTCCATACCATAAAACCATAACCAAACCACAACCATTCAAACGGTTATGGGCTTGACTGAACCACTGAAGAACAAAGGTTACCATTTATATATGAATAACTACTATAACTCATTCAACTTAGTGAAAAACTGCTTGAACAAGGTTTATACACCTGTGGTACTCTCAGATTGCAGCGTGGTGCACCAAAAGATTTTCAGCTACAAGAAAAGGGTAAACTGGCAGTAGATACAACTGTATTCTGACAGAAGGACAATACAGGGGTACCTCGGTTTACAATTTGATTCGTTCCTGGAGACGGTTTGTAACCCAAAAATCCGTAAACCGAAGCGAATTTCCCCCACAAGAAATAATGGGAAATGAATTAATCCATTCCTGGCTCCCAAAAAAACTTCACTTCAAAGTAAATTTTATATCTAATTCACCCAAATCTTCACTATAAAAGTATGTTTAAGTTATTACTTACCCTTGCTGATGACTTCTGTTGGTGTATGGAAGATGGTGAGGAGGAGAGAGAAGAAGGGAAGAGGAGGAGGGGAGAGGAGGAGAGATGTTACTGTTTGGAAGGGGAGTCCCCTTCCATTATGATATCAGGCAGTGAGGACTTTTCTGGGGTACACTCTCTGGCATGTTTTGCCTGTATACCACTAGGACCTGTTTGTGGCTCACTGCTTGTTTCTCTCACTAAAAACCTCTCTAGCAACACTTGTTTTTTTCCCTACATTGTAACATTTGTCTGAAGTGAGACATCACATTGTCATTAAAAAGGTTAACACAGCAGTCTGCTACAGCTTGATTTAGGGTGACACTTTTCAGCAAAACTTTGCAATTCTTCACATACTGCACACATTTTCTTAATAAATGAGATAGGGACATCCTCTACTCTACATCAACAACCCTCATACCATTTTCATGTTTATGAATGATCTCTTGCTTTTCCTCTATGGTCGTTCTCACATGTGTTTTCTTGGCTTAAACCTTACCACTGGCTTTCTTGGGACCCATGGCGAGATATATAATAACTTTTATGCTCAAATAGCAAAAAACCTGAAAAAGCCTGTAAATCCACGCAAAGAATTCAGGCGGGATAGTCACCGGATGCGAGGCACTGGTAAACTGAGGCGCAATCGCTGTGCCACCACGCGCTAGGTCGGCCGTACACCTATCAACAAACTTATATAACGAGGTAAAGTTCGTAACCGATTCAAATTTTCCAAACAAATCGGGCTCGTAACCCGAAAAGTTCGTAAACAGGGGTGTTCGTAAACCAAGGTACCACTATACTTTTATAATTCTGTGGAATGATAAGCGAGTTGTTTAACTCATCACAACGTGCCACAATGCAGATACACAAGAAGTGGAACGAAAGAAATGAATATGCAAACCTGTCAGAACATCTTCATTGCAACATGTCACTGTGAACAACCCAACGGCAATCTGTGACTACAATACCAACATGAAAGGTGTTGATCACTTCGACCAAATAGTCAAATACAGTATTACCATTTCATGCGGAATTGTCACGTGGACGAAGAATTGTCAAAGTGGACGAAGAAAATCATATTCTACTTTCTGCAAATAGCTATCCATAATTCTTTTGTGTTGTACAAGTACTATATAACTGATACAAAGAAACTCTATTGCTCCAGTACCAGGAAGTAATCATTTGGTCACTACATAACTTTGAGTATAAGAATTGGCCTCTCCAAAATGACATCATCATACATGCTGGTGATGTACATGAGGATGAGAGCAGATCTACTGGGGTCAATGTTGCAACACTTGGACCATCAGGTGTGAGGCGGCCTTCTTCACCTCAAAATAAAGATTCATCAGACTCAGATGACAAGGGGTCAGATTACTCCTTGTGGTGGTGCTGCTGCTAGGAGAAACCCTCGTATTGTTGATAAACCAGAACGTTTGAACAGGGGCTTGAACCATTCCCTAGTTCGCATCGTGAAAGGTCTGAAGTGTCGTGTTTGCTACAAGTCTGGTAAAAGAAAGGACACCAGGTATAAAGGCAAGTCATGTGGTGTGGCACTGTGTGCTGCACCATGTTCTGGCTTGTACCATCACAAGAGGACATAATGGGTGGATAAGCAGTAATGCTTATCCACCATCCACTCCATCTATAAAACATTGGTTGAGAAACTTCAGGAATCATTTTCCTGGAGCAGGTTAAGTGGTTCAACCTAATGCTCAACTCATGCTCTACAAACATCATTGGGTGGTAAGTACAGACATGTTCATTCAGTTATATATTTTTTTCACATGATGATGTAATTTATTCTTATGGTATTGGTAATGTTGTTCTTCCAGTTGCCCTTATATGAATATATATTCCTTTAGAGCATTCTACTGGGGACAATTTGATACCAAAATGAACGATATAACACGAAAATTGAGGCGAGAAAACTGAAAAGAGTACACACATTTTAGAAAAGATAGGGTTAAGCAGTTATGTTGAGTGTGATAGTCTTGTAAACATTAATGCACGAACAGCATAGCCACACATGCCCTTGTCTGTTGCCGATGGCATCTGACATAGCAAAATGCCGCTCGATACAATACAACATCGCTAACTCAAGACAAAATACAGTACTTCTATTATTATTATTTTTATCAGAATCCTGGTCACCAAAACCTAAATATGAATAATTTTTCACACATTCATTTTCAAAAGGAACATAAGGTCCCGTTACATGATACACAGAGGCAACAAACAGTGGCTGTATGCAGTGGCTGTCTGCCTTGCTTTGGGAACATTATCAGCAGTACTGGGTTTACTGATATCTGAACCTTGTACATAATCTTTTTCACTGTTAGGGTTTTCTATGTCACTATCATCAATATAAGTGCAGATACTTATTTATTTTCTCATCATTAAGTGATGCTGTGGGCACAAGCTGCATGGCAGTGGTATGAGCTGTTGATGCATGCGTTACCCATAGTTGCTGTGTTAAGACTGAGGCCCTCACACCTTAGAAGGGTGTCCACAATTTTTTTTCCAAGATGACACCTGTTTACTAGAGACCTGAGGACTAGGATGTGAGCCCTGTGTACCCACAGTTTTAAATGTTACACTACAAGTAAAATGAAACTGGGTTGATGTGTGAATCACCAATGAAACAACCCTGGTTTATATTCGCAGTTGGAGAGTCAAATAAAGGAAATGTTACTAAATCTGCTTCTATCTTCCTGACATGTTCTACTAACAAATGTGTTATAAGCCAGTCAAATCAGATTATAAGTGTGCAATATTTCTCATATTGGGTGAGTTATATCATATGAGGGACTGGTGATTCATAACACATTAAACTTTCACTTATGCACAACCACCTAAGAAGAATCTTAGTCCCAGTCTTGTAAAAATGCTGGTATCTCCTAGCCTATTGTCAAGTGCTCTAACCATCAGAATGTGGGTGACTGGACTTGTGACTCTGGTGTCACATCACTTACCTGAGACCTGACCATCATCTCGTTACCTGCTCATTTCCCAAAGACGTTACTGGTGCTCCACCTCCTTTGGTTGCTCTACTTTCATTGCTATGTTTCTCCTTCGGATGTACTTAATAATAGTCAAATTTTAATCTCCAATGTGTGGGTTTGCTACATTCTGCTGTTTATATTTTTTCTACATGTCTTTGGCATTTGTAAATAAATAGCAAGTGTGTGTATCGCACCAGTTGAAGCCGTAGCAGTAGTTGGTGTTAACAGACAGCACCCTCAGGCCGGGCTTGATGAGGGTCGAGTAGTAGGCAGAGTAGGCAATGCTAGTGGCTACATCAGGGGGCAGCCATGTCTCCCAAAGTGTCACAATTTCATCATACAGCCACGAAATGTCGAACTCATTGTCAATATATGGCTGCGGAAACCTAATTTGGGAAGAAAACATACTGTACTTAGAATGACAAACTAGAACCGTTGTGAAAAGAATAAAACATGGAACAGTTAAAAAATCTTAAGTTGCACAGTGCAATAGTAATAAACACGCGATTCCTTTATGCGTAAGTATCCATTAGGAAAATGAAATTAAAATTCCGAATGTTTTTGTATTTCACCACATTATCAAGGAATACAGAGAAAGACAAGGGTTTGTTATTATATGCCCCACTACACCTGAGTAGGTAAAGATCCATAACCAAAATATCAATTAGTGGAAGTGACATGGTGGGATGATTACCTGGGTATTCACTCATTCTTAGAATGTACTAAACATACAAAAATAAGGGAACAGAAGAATGTGGGAATACCCAGTTAATCATCCTACCTTCATGTCACTTCCATTAATTAATATTTTGATTTATAGATCTTTATCTACTCAGGTGTATTAGAATCCCAAACCTTTGTCTTCTCTGTATTCCTTGATAATGTGGTGAAATACAAAAATGTTCAGAATTTTAATTTAATTTTCCTAGTAGATACTAATGCAAATTGTACAGTGTAATGGTTGATGAGATTCAGGCATTGGTGGGATAGGATTCAGGCACTGATGGGATGGGATTGAAATGCTGATAGGATAGAATTCAAATGCTGATGGGATAGGATTCAAGTGCTGAAGGGATGGGATTCAAGGTGCCGATGGGATGAGATTCAGATGCTAATGGAAGGGGATTCACTGATGGGATGGGATTCAGACACTGATGGGATGGGATTCAGACACTGATGGAATGGGATTCAGGCACTGATGGGATGGAATTCAGGTGCTGGTGGAATGGGATCCAGACACTAAGGCAGGGCTGTAATACTGTCCTAATGTAGGTACAAAAGGAGTATTATCCAAAAGTACCCAGCTGTTCTTAATCTCCTGCCCTGGGCAGCTTGTGCATGTCAACATCGACAAAACTTGAAGATGTAATTTTAAATGAGGTCATATTCCCAAGGGGCTACTCAATTTGGAGACGGGACAGAAAAATTAGGAAAGGCGGTGGCGTTGCTGTGCTGGTAAAAGAACACCTAAAGGTGAAGGAAATAATGACTGCCAATCCACAAGAAGTTGACATAATAGCACTAGAGATCTGCTATGAGGAGGATAAACTAATGATGATAAATGCATATAGTCCACCGCCAAGCAGCACATGGTCAAAGGAGGAGCTAGATAGTAAACGTGAAGGTCTTATAACAATAATGAGAGAGATTATAGCGAGAGCGGATAACGATAGATCACGACTGTTGATAGTCGGTGACTTCAACTTGAAATCCATAGACTGGGAAGCATATGAAGCTAAAACAGAAGATTTTTGGACCTGTAAATTTGTAGACCTCATCCTGGAAACATTCTTGTATCAACATGTTAAACAAGCTACGAGGATGAGGGAAGGGGACGTTCCCTCCATGCTAGATTTGATATTTACCAGGAAGGAGGAAGAGATATTTGACATTCAGTACCTTCCTCCTTTGGGTAAAAGTGACCATGTCTTTTTGGGAATAAAGTATGCAATGCGTTATAAGCTGGAAGAAAATAAGGAGGTTGAAGCAGTTGAAAAACCAGACTTCAGGAGAGGACATTATGGTGACCTTAGAAATTTTTTTAGTGAGTATAATTGGACAGACTTGATGCTAGGCAAGGAAGTGAATGAGATGTATGGCAAGTTTTGTGAAATATATGATAAAGGCACAAAAAAATTTATACCAAAACAGAGATGCAGGACCAGAAAACAGGATTGGTTCGACAGAAATTGTGAGAGGGCAAGAGACCAAAAGACACAAAAATGGAATCAGTATAGGAAGAGGCCAAACCCCCAAACATACCAGCGATACAAAGATGCGAGAAACAATTATACAGCAGTAAGGAGAGAGGCAGAAAGAAATTTTGAAAAAGGGATAGCAGATAAATGTAAAACAGAACCGGGCCTATTCTACAAATTCATAAACAACAAATTGCAGGTAAAGGATAATATCCAGAGGAGTGTGTTTGTACAAAAGGAAATCTGCAGGGAACCAGACACAATAAGAATTCCAGAGAACAACATGGAGCACATAGAGGTGTCTAGAGACGAAGTGGAAAAAATGCTCAAGGAGCCAAGTAAGAACAAAGCAGTTGGTCTAGATGGAGTTTCACCATGGGTTCTGAGAGTATGCACATCCGAGCTCAGCATTCCACTTCAACTGATCTTTCAGGCATCCCTGTGTACAGGAGTTGTAGCTGATGTGTGGAAACAGGCTAACATAGTTCCAATCTACAAAAGTGGCAGCAAGGAAGACCCCCTCAATTATAGACCTGTATCATTGACAAGTGTAATAGTGAAAGTATTGGAAAAAATAATCAAAACTAAATGGGTAGAACACCTGGAGAAAAACGATATAATATCAGACAGACAGCATGGTTTTCGATCTGGAAGATCCTGTGTATCGAATTTACTCAGTTTCTATGATCGGGCCACAGAGATATTACAGGAAAGAGATGGCTGGGTTGACTGCATCTATCTGGACCTAAAAAAGGCTTTCGACAGAGTTCCACATAAGAGGTTGTTCTGGAAACTGGAAAATATTGGAGGGGTGACAGGTAAGCTTCTATCATGGATGAAAAATTTCCTAACTGATAGAAAAATGAGGGCAGTAATCAGAGGCAATGTATCGGATTGGAGGAATGTCACAAGTGGAGTACCACAGGGTTCAGTTCTTGCACCAGTAATGTTCACTGTCTTCATAAATGATCTATCAGATGGAATACAGAATTATATGAACATATTTGCTGATGATGCTAAGATAATAGAAGGATAAGAAACCTAGATGATTGTCATGCCCTTCAAGAAGATCTGGACAAAATAAGTATATGGAGCACCACTTGGCAAATGGAATTTAATGTGAATAAATGCCATGTTATGGAATGTGAAATTGGAGAACATAGACCCCACACAACCTATAAATTATGTGAGAAATCTTTAAAGAATTCTGACAAAGAAAGAGATCTAGGGGTGGTTCTAGATAGAAAACTGTCACCTGAGGACCACATTAAGAACACTGTGCGAGGAGCCTATGCTACACTTTCTAACTTCAGAATTGCATTTAAATACATGGATGGAGATATATTAAAGAAATTGTTCACGACTTTTGTTAGACCAAAGCTGGAATGTGCAGTGGTTGTATGGTGCCCATATCTTAAGAAGCACATCAACAAACTGGAAAAGGTGCAAAGACATGCCACTAAGTGGCTCCCAGAACTAAAGGACAAGAGCTACGAGGAGAGATTAGAGGCATTAAATATGCCAAAACTAGAAGATAGAAGAAAAAGAGGTGATATGATCACTACGTACAAAATAGTAACAGGAATCGATAAAATTGATAGGGAAGAATTCCTGAGACCCGGAACTTCAAGAACAAGAGGTCATAGATTTAAACTAACGAAACAAAGCTGCCGGAGAAAAATATTAAAATTCACCTTTGTAAACAGAGTGGTAGACGGTTGGAACAAGTTAGGCAAGAAGGTGGTGGAGGCCAAAACTGTTAGTTATTTCATAGTGTTATATGACAAAGAGTGCTGGGAAGATGGGACACCATGAGCTTAGCTCTCATCCTGTAACTACACTTAGGTAATTACACTTAGGTAATTACTAAATATTCAGGGTAAATACACTCTTGTGTTTTGAATTTCTGAGGTTAACAGTGCCTACAACAAGCAACCAGTGTTGCAAAAGGATGCAGATTATTAAAACAGTGTTGAAAGTAATGAAATGCTAGTTTCTGGGTGAGCCACGGTGGTTTCCTGAAGCTACTGTCTTTGATAGGACCTATTAGTATGAGTTACTATACGTTGTCGTGTTCTGTAGGCCTACTGGGAACCAGTGCCAGAACCTGCCCCCACCCCCCCCACACACACACAGAGGTGCAGAGAGTGAAGGCACTTGAAAGAAGGCACTGTGAAGGAACTCCACAAACTATTTAAACAAACGATCATGCAACTAGCACCAGCTTGTTCACCCCTCTTCTTCCACTTATTTCAGGGAAGGGAGGGAGGCAGCCCGCCGTTAGCTGGCTGCTCTACCTTCAGTTCTATTTTGATGCAAACATTCCCCAACATTCTGGAGGGAGGGAGGATGTCAGGTGAAGCCACCGAGCCCCACTCAGAAATTAGCGTTTCATAGCATTCAATGCTGATTTTCTAGGGTGAGCCCCATGTGGTTCCCTGAAGCAAACTACCCACAGAAAATGGAACAATGGAAATTTACCAGGGAGGAAGGAGCATTGCAAGAACTATGACCTCCAAAATCCACATGTCTTAATATCTGTCCAGGACATATTTGCGAAGACCACCAACAGGACAGCAAATTTCCAAGCTTCATGCGCATGTAGACAGCAGGCTGGATAAATTTAATGACATTGTGAACAACCTGAAGAATGCAGGCCATGGAACAGCTGACCAGGGTGACAGGATGACACCACAAAGAATCCATGGAGGCAGAACCAGTGGCACAAAGGTAGGGGTGAAGAGCTGCCACTGAAAACAACATATGATGCACCCCAGGCGCTGAACCAACCAAGCATCAAACATGAAGGGTCCCTAAAAATTCCTTTCAAAAACTGCATCCTCATCTCTAAACAAAACTTCCTCTCCCTGAGCCAACTGACTGGCAAAGGAAGGAAGGAAGGAAGGAAGGAAGGAAGGAAGGAAGGAAGGAAGGAAGGAAGGAAGGAAGGAAGGAAGGAAGGAAGGAAGGGAGGGAGAAAGGGATGGAGAAAGGGAGGGAGGGAGAAAGGGAGGGAGAAAGGGAGGGAGAAAGGGAGGGAGAAAGGGAGGGAGGGAGAAAGGGAGGGAGGGAGAAAGGGAGGAAGGGAAAAAGGGAGGGAGAAAGGGAGGGAGGGAGGGAGGGAGAAAGGGAGGGAGAAAAGGAGGGAGGGAGGGAGAAAGGCAGGGAGGGAGGGAGGGAAGGAGAAG